ATATATTTTGACCTAAATTTCTTGGTATTTTGACAAGATAAATAAAGGTAAATATAAACAAGAAGAGGGGGGAGAGGAATAACCAGCCAGTCAGTATATCTCAGTAAGAAGTCTCATACTAGAAAGATGGAAAAACCAGTATCAAATCCTTTTCTTTCTCTGCTCACCTGCTTTTCTTCTCAAAGATGTTTTGTTTCTGTTAAGCAGGCTGAGGCTTCCTGTAACCACTTACATATTCACCTTACTGAGACATTAATTATGCCTGGAAACCAAATAATGAAGTAAGGCCCACTACCTCAGGACAGTTGAATCAAAAGAAATCATTAACCTGTAGTATAATTTAAATCTCTTAGAGGTTGATTTTCTTTTATGCTCACTCCCTCTTGAATCTGACCCCTGCTAGAGATAACAGTTAAGAGAACTGTTTCTATCTACAGAGTCCACAGAAGGCAGAGATTCTTCTTTCTGAGCCCTTCATATCACCTTCCCTTTGGGCACTCTCCCTAGCCAGACAGTTCCTGAGTATGTAACTTTGTGTTACTTATCATGTTTGAAATGAGCTTCAGAAAGCTTCAGTAAGATTTGGCCTGTGGCTGGATTCATATCCTGAAAGTTTTCATAGCAGGTATATTTGAACTACATCACAGCAAGGACTGCAGCCTTGGGGCAGGTTAGTGGTTTGATGTATGAAATGTCTATGTGCATGGTAAGCATCCTGCTGGGATTTACTCCCTACATAATTTTCAGCTAAGGCAAAATCAGGACTGGGGCTTCACTCCATAAACTGTGTTGAAACATTCCTCTCCATTCATATGGTTTCTCAGTTATTGATACACTTTAGTAACACAGTGCAGGGTCAGTGCAATCCCATCAAAATTAAATTTAGTTGTTCTCCTATGCCCACATCCCATCCTAACACTTACCAAGCATGATCTCTGCACTTCACAAGCAGCACTGGACTTCTGAAGCACTGCTACAAAGTACATGAAGCCACACTCCATATGTGTGCTGTACTCCACGTCCTCTCAGTGAAAACATTCTGGAGCACTGAGCTCACATTTCTGCTTATTCATTCCAAAGAAAATCTAAGTTTTGAAGGCTTCACTAAAAACTGCCTCAAAGAAGATCAACATCAATTGATACACACTCAAACATATCTGAAAGATGACATTCATTCCAAGATTATGTTTTCTACACAGTAATTTTTAGTAATCTTTTCCCCTCCATTTTCTAGGCTCTGTAGGCTTATCCCTTCCTCTTCAGAGTTCTTATTTTGCCAGAATTAAGTTTGGGCCCAAGATGTTCTTCAAGCCAGTTTCCCTTGAGCACCTGTGCAGGTATGCAATCAGGGGAATAAAGAAATTAATACCTATTATCCTCCTTCTATTCCTGTCAATAAATCCACAACCATCACATCTCAGCTGACAATCATGGCAAGTATATTTTTTTTCATCCCTCATCTGATCATCTGAACCAAACTACTATTGCTGAAAACTCTTTTCTTCAGTTGACTTCAGTTCTTCTATTCACAGATGCTGGTGAGTTTCTCTCTTAACTAGTCCTATCTTCTGATCTCTGAGATAAAAAAATCTGAATCTAGTAATTTTCTCTTAAATTTGTTACTGTGGGTGCTTATGTTATTAAGTTCCTTCTCTAGACTCCAAACATTTCCCCTTTTTTTCCATGAGCTTTTCACAAAACCCATGAAGGAATTTCCAGTTTTCCTCAGGTTAAAACACTAACAAGAACCATTGTAGAATAATGTCCTTGCAGTCCAGGTGAGGTGGGTTGGCTAAATCCCCCCAATGACTACATATTCCAGCACTCATTCCAAATATTGCCATCGTACAATTTTTATTAAAAAGAGGAAAATACATAAAAACAGAGGCCAAAAGAATGTCATCACAAAAGGGAGGCAAGAGTTAGGCAGGAGGACATTACTAGGTCTACCTGTCATTCAAAACCACTGCAAACACCATTCTTTCAACAGAAAACCAGAACAAGATCCTTATTTCTCCCTCACTACTTACAATCTCACTTCCAAGACCATTTTTCTCAGCAATGTTTTGAAGAAAATTGGTTTGTTTCTATTTTTCTTCAAGCTTTCAGTACTATCATATATGCAGACTGGGCCTCTCCTGATGGAAAATTATCTAACTTGTTACCTGTGATTTCTAGAGAAATTCACACATTCTGAGATCCAACCAAGAATAAAACTGTTGTTTACAGAACTTGCAGTGCACAGAATCCATAGGCAATTAAAATGACATACTAATTTCAGTGGTAAAATTCAGTGTCCACACCTTAGCCTAATTTAATGTGTAAATTAAACAACAAGCACTTGGGCTCAATTAAATGGACTCAGAAAGAACACTATTAATAGCCTTCGATGAGCCAGAGGGTAGCATTCACCTTGATTTAATTTCCTACAGTTCAGAACCTAGGCTGGTCACTCAGGCATCACCATTTGGTGGAGAAAAATGTGAGGTGCATCTATTGTCAGCAACTACAAATGAAACTTAACATTTCAAATGCAAGTCTGTCATCTTGGGAAGTAGACTAAAGAAGGGGGCAATGCTGAGGTACACACTCATGATTCTTATCAGTACCACATGTCAGCAGAAACAATAAAACCTTAATTATTGAAAGTCCTGCACACAAACCAGCCTGCCCACCAGAAGGCAAAATGTACTAACTTGACATATTTCACAAGATGTACAGACAACATTTAGTACCTGAGCTGCAAGGGTGGCAGCAGAGGTACAGGATGAAATCCAGGCTATCACAGAAGGAGTCAAGTTGGAAGGGACCACAGTGGGTTACAGGTTTCAACTCCCTGCTCAAGCAGGCTTATCCTAGGGCACTTTTTACAGGATTACAACCAGAAGGCTTTAAGTATTCACAGTGAGGGAGACTCCACAACCTCTCTGGTCAATGTGTTCCAGTGCTTGGTCACCTGCACAGTAATGAAATTCATCCTTATGTTTAGGTGGAACTTCCTGTGCACCAGCCTCTGCCCATGTCCTATTGCTCAGCAGCACTGAGCAGAACCTGGCTCCATCCTTTTGGCACTCTGCCTTCAATACTTACAGACACTGATGAGGTCCTCTCTTCTAGATGCCGCTTCTCCAGGCTAAACAGGCCCAGATATGGAGACATATACAAGAGAAACTATACAAGATCTGAGTCTAGATCAGGTGTAAAAAAGGTATTTTGGAGAAGAGTGAAGTCTTTTATACTAACATTCCAAAACACTACTGAAACTGTGTATGATATTTTTACCAGGAAGCAGCATAATGCCAACAAACATTCCTAACACTTCTGGAATACTAAGTAAACAGCAAGACTTCTAGACACATGATGAGAAATGACTATCTGCATCTGCTTCCTCTCTAAAAGGAGGGCTACAACCCTGACTACTGCTGGAGCCAAGACTCAGCCAGAAGTGCAGTACAGCAGTCAAGATGATACTGTTTGGGATCCATGTTTCCTTCGACACCTCAATGATTTACCTTACATATCCTTACCTTAGGACTCATGAATATACCTTGCTGAACAAAGCAAGCAGCCAAGGCAGCAAGCATCCTGCACTGTATTAATGGGAACACAACCAGCAGATTACAGGGAGTGACAATCTCCCTTTACTTGACACTCACTACACCACACCCACAATACTGCACCCACTTTGGGGCCCAAAACAAGAAAAAATATGGACAAACTGCAGTGCATTCAGACAGTCATGGGGCAAGAGTACTTGCCTTGTGAAAAGCACCTCAGGAACAGCCTTTTCAACTTGAGAAGAGATGGCTTTCAATTGACCTAATAGCAGTCTTCCCATACCTGAGGTTATCCAGGAAACACAGCCGGGGTCTTTACAGCAGTGCATGTCAGAGTTGAAAAGCAAATGGTATAAACCAAAATAAGAGAGGCCCCAACTTGATGCAAGGAAAAGGGTTCTCATGATACAGACAAAAATTGAAGCAAGCTGCCCAGAGGTGTTGTGTAGTCTCTATCCCTATAGGTTTTTAAGACATGTTGGATAAAACATTGAGCAACCTGGTCTGGCCACACAAACAACCTTGCATTGAGTAAGGAGGCTGGATGAGTGACTCCCCATGTCCCTTCCAACTTGAATTTTGCTGTGATAAAAGTTGTGGGCTGCATCAGGCTACACAAAATGAGGGGAGAGAAAGAAGATACAGAGAATTACAGTTACTCTGGTATTATTTGATAGCACAATTTTTCAAATTGCAGCATTATTCTAATACAGCTACTCTCACACAACCGAAGCTTGGCAAAGGTGGGGTGATCTCCCTTGCACTTAGTAGCCACCCATAGCACTGGAAAAAAAGCAGTGCTTGAGGGAAAGGATGAGACAAAGCAATTCTACACGACCAAGAACTTCTGTCAGAATGTCAGCAATACAATGGTAACTCTGGCTGTTAGTAAAGGTCATGAGCAATTACAGTCAAAACAGTGCAGACAGAGGTGGTTATGTAGGTAATTTCAAAGGAAAAGAGGTGTTTTGTAAGACAGAGAAATCAGGAGTGACAGTGATATCAAATATGCTTTCTCAAGATGTTAAGAGCGAATAGCTGACACACTTAGAGAAATCACAGTGGCCAAAAATCTTAATGTAAAGGCCATTCTTCAACAACACCATAATTGTAAATCAATAGGACATGATATTATCCTGCTACAGCCCATCTTTCTTTAACATTAATTGGAAGTGGAGAAAAGAGCTGTATCTGACACGGTCCATAAAATGTAATTAAACCTTTGCAGTGAAAAAGAGCAGAAAATTCTGGATAGCTATGGATTCTGGGTTAAGAACAGTGATTTACTACTGCCTGAATAGTTCAATTTCTAAAGAAAAAAGGTATTAAACATCCTCTTTGGAGAGACAGAATGAAAAGGGGTGTTCCATTTGCTAACTCAATGACATGACTGGGTCCATCCATTTCCCCTGTCTCTTGGTCAATTATCTATGTAATACTTACCCTTTCTGTCAGAATACTGCAAAAAATCTATGGAAGATGAGAAAACAAAAGGTAGCATCAGTTCAGATAGAAAATGTGTTCTGTTACAGCACATGCTCTCTGCTTAAGCAGTTCATGTCATTTAAAATGTCATTCAAGTTTCACATTAAATTCTACTCAAATCAAAAGCATTATGAAAATTATTTGACCAGGTTCGAGTTCAAAGAACTTTTAGAGTGTGAGAAACATACAAGAAGACTTGAATAGGAATATAAAATTGCATTGCTCCAGAAATGAATTGACAAAAACTACAGTGAAATGTAGAGTCTTGTTCTTCTACCAACAGTAACTCTTAATAGCATTAATTACAGAAAAATTCAATTACAGAAAAATAATTTGGCTAATCCATTAGAGAGCAAAGCATACCAGAGCTAGCAGCAGAAGGCAAATGCCACAACGTACCCCTGGAATTTACTCTCCTATTTCACTCCATGACACCCCCATGACTATACCTTTGTGCCTGTACTTACACTTGCACATTCACAATGTAGTTCAGGCAGTCACATAACCTCATTTCCCTGAAGCTCCCCAAGAACAAACACAGCCATATAAACAAGAGAAGCAGAACTGGCAAAACCTGGGGTTACATGAGCAGTCAGATGAAAGTAATTTTCAAGAGGAAACTTCCTTTAAAACAGACACTTGGGTTACTATTGGGAGTTACGAGAATGCAGAGACAGACTTGGAGGAATGTTGGTTGGATGGGACCTGTGAAGGTCACCCAGCCCAGCCTCCCACTCAGAGGAGGGCTAAGGCCAGTGCTAGATGACACTTTCCAAGGGAAGAGGCTGTGCTCAGCAGAACAGTGGGTGGCAGAAACAGCAGGACATCTGCTGCAAGAAGGCCTTGCTTGTGCCTTCTACTCTCCAGAGGCACCTATATTTCCATGTCAAACATCAGCCAAGGAAAGCATGAACTGACATGGGAAGCCTTTCTAAAGGATAAAAAGGAGACGCTGCAGTAAATAAAGCACTCCAAGCAATATTTCTATGCTGAATGATAGGAGAAAATGAGCAACAGAAAACTCTAATCACACATATAAAGTCACCAAAAAGAAAAGCTGTAAGGAGTGGATGACATGACACATACCAACAACATGACACTCTTTCTTCCATGATGGAGTGAAGCTGTGTTCAGTATTCCAGTGGTCTCAAAACAAACTCATGAACAAGCTCAAAGAAACTTGCTTGCAAAGCTGATGGCAGAAAACCACGCTAATTTGGAAAGTGAAGAGCAAACAGGCTGCAAGAACCCAAGGAAAATTAGGTGTGATGCACATATCAAGTAGTTACTATTTGTCAGCAGTCGGGTGCAGGTTTAAAAACATTAGCAATGCATGGAAAGGCCATTTTTTGTTTTGTTTAACATGTAACCTCTTTGAAAATTCAGGTTTTGAGACAGACAGTAAAAGAGACATCTGTTCTGTTTAGCATTTATTTAATCATGGCAGGAGAAAGCTGTTTTACACTTAGGTAACAAGACATGTTACTGTTCATATGATTTTGGCAGCTATGACAGAGTGAGGGCAGGAGATGAGTGCCAGTTAAATACACTGTAGCAACAGTCTAAGTTTTTAAGACTTCTCTCAAGAGGAGGGAAGAAGATTGATGAAAATTTGCCCATGTTTTGTTCAGAGATATGAAATTTAAGGCCTCTCTTAATGGCCTTTGTCACACAATGAACAACTTTAATTGCCAAGAAATTGCTTTTCCAGGTTGACTGCCCACTTAAGCTGGAGAGTATATAAAACAAGTTCATTCCTTACAGAGTTCTACAGGAAACAACTTGGTCATGGAGATATTTACAGTTGTGCCACTGTATGTTCAGCTCTATAGAAGTTGCTACCTTGATATTGTCAAAGCATAGCAAAAATTACAGAAGCAGGAAATTAAAAAATACCTGAAGCAAAAAATGAGGAAGTTAATTGTCTGGAATTAACACAGATATAACTAAATGAACCTTAACCCAAACCCAAAAAGACTTTGTAACTCTATAATGGAAAAGGATACAGAACAGGTGAGGGAACGAAAGCATAGCAAAATGAAAAGCCGAGGTGAATAGAAAAAAAAAATTACTCCCCCCAACATTCTGGTCCAAGCAATGCAGGCAAAAAAATAAGTGCTCTGAAATGTTATCTTGTAAGGATATACAGTCATGGAATGGTTTGGGTTGGAAGGGGCCTCAAACCATGTAATTTCAAGCTCTGCTGTGGGCAGGGGCACCTTCTGCTAAACTCTGCATCTATGGTACCTGAACTCTTTCCTTTCTCTTTTCCCTCTAGTTTAGGTATTGGCACCTCAAACACACATCACTAACCCATTCATTACAAGGGCAAAGGTACTTTACTAAAAGGAGTATTTGGATGATAATGAACACTTCTGTTTGGAGAATGCGCCCGACCACCTCGGCCGGTCCAGCGCCGGGGACAGCTCTCCCTGCACCCAGCTGTGTCACCGACGGGCCGCCCTCGCACACTGAGGCGCTGCTGCTGCTGCTGTGCCCTTGCCCCGGCCGGGAGCCCCGAGCCGCCCGCCGGGCCGGGCCGGCTCCCACGTGGCTTTCGGAGCGCGGCCCGGGCCGCAGGGCGCTCCCCGGCAGGGCTCTCCCGGTAGGGCGCTCCCGGCAGAGCTCTCCCGGCAGAGCTCTCCCGGCAGGGCTCTCCCCGCAGTGCCGTCCCGCCAGGAGAGCCCCTGCCCGCCGCCGGCCCTCCCGCAGCCCGTGCTCCCATCTCCGCTTCCCCTCAGCGCTTCCCCGCGGCATCACGTGTGGCGAGGGCGGACCGGCCCCGGCCCAGCCGCCCCGCCCCGCCCCGCTCTGTCCGCCGCTCGCCGGGACACTCACTCGCCAGCGCTGCCGCTGCCCTCTACGGCTCCACTCCCGCCTGCGGCCTCTGCCTTCTGCCCGTCCCGGGGCGCCTCTCCGGGGAATAGGCGGCGGGGCGGAGCGGGGCGTGGGGCGGCGCCTGCCCACGCTCCCTCCCCTGCGGACGGGGCAGCGCGGCGAGCCCGGGCGCGGGGCCGGGGGTGAGCCGGGGTTGCGGGCCAGAGCCGCCGGCCGGAGCCGGCCCGGCTGCCAGAGGCAGGGATCGTGCTTGGCGGGAGCGCGGCCAGGGCGGCCAGCCGGGCTCGGGGCCGCGAGAGCCGGACACCCCGCGGCCGCTGCCAAAGCGGGAGGAGCGCCCGGCGCTCCGGTAAGGGCCGCTCCCGAGGCCGGGGCCTCGCCTGCTGGAGGCCGTAATAAACATGCGTGAAGCAGTGCAACGTTTGGCAGCCAATCTGGCCTTTGGAGAAGCTTTAAAAACACCCCTTTTTTTAATAAACGCTGTTGACTACTCTGTAGGAAGGGATTTTGGCTGCAGGGACAGATTGGTCTTGAGCCTGCTGAGGCAGGAGTTTTAAACTTTGAGCCTGCTAAGTGCTTTTCTGTTGACCACCTTTGCAGGCAGCTTCTAGTTCCCAGGCAGATTCCCTTAAGCTGGCTCGGTAGGGATCAGTTTGCTCTCTAGCAAAGCATGTGTAGGTTCCACACAGTAAATCACTTTAAAGTAAATGCATTGATAGGAGGAATAAGAGTGAGATACCCTTTCTACTGGTGCTGTAGAAAGGGACCTGGGTGTCCTGGATGACGGGAAATTGAACATGAGTCAGCGGTGCCCTGGCAGCCAGGAGGGCCAAGCGTGTCCTGGGGGACACTAGGCACAGCAGCACCAGTGGGATTGTCCTGCTCTGCTCTGCACTGGGGTGGCCTCACCTTGAATACTGTGTGCAGTTTTGGGTGCCACAAGATAAGGAAGATACTTAATTATTAGAGTGTCCAAAGGAAGATTTTGAAGATGGTGAGCAGTCTAGAGGAGAAGCCGCATGAGGAGAAGTCTGTTCAGCCTGGAGGAGTCTGAGGGGAGATCTCATTGCAGTCTTCATTGCAGTCTAGTTTCCTCATGAGGGGAAACAGAGGGGCAGACATTGATCTCTGGTGACCAGTGACGGAATTCAAGGGAATGGCCTGAAGCTGTGAAGTTGTGTCAGGGATGGTTTAAGTTGGGTATCAGCATAAAGGTTTCTCCACCAATGGATGGTTGAGCCCTAGAACAGGCATCCCAGAGAAGTGGTCGCCAGAGAAGTGTCAGGCATCAGCCTGACAAAGTTCAAGAAGTGTTTTGAACAACACTCCTGGGCACTCATTGTGACTCTTGCATGCAGGGCCTGTGCATGCAGGGCCAGGAGTTGGGCTTGGATGATCCCTATGGGTCCCTTCCAACACAGGATATTCTATGATTCTCTCTGGAGCATACAAGTACCATTGTGTGGCTTGGTTACTGGGACAGCAGGTGATACTTTGGTGTCAGTTCTATAAGTGGAAGCCAGGTTGTGTCTCTTATAACTATTCACTTTTTTACCCAATTACCAGTCAATAATTCTATTCCACCTATAACACTAGGTAGGACTGTTGCAAAACAACATATGTAAATATGTATAAGTAAATATATATAAACATTTTCTTAAGAAAGGATGTTCTTTGATGTTTGCTCTTTGTATGCTTTTAAGCCTAATCATCAAGAAGGAATATTCAATCTGTGAGCAAATAACAGCTAGCAAGCAAGCTCTAGGTGATGTCCAGGTGTTAGAAAAACAAATTACTTGGTAGAATTGCCTTGTTAGGATTTAGGGCATGAAATGCTTCAATGATCTCAGACCTAGGGGAAGGTTAATAAAGCTAGGGAAGAAGGATGTACCACTGATAGTGGACACAATGTGGAATTTACAGGCCACAAAGACATCTGGCAGAACTCCCAAGATAAAATAGGAACTAATAAACCCAACCCAGTGATTGTGCTGCAATCAGCTCTGACTGGGTAAATTATAATTCCATCAGGGGGAGATTGTGACCACTGGCTCACAGACCACCCACCCCAAAGAAGAGAAAAACTTGAGCATAGGACTAATTAGCATGAGAAGCAAGAGAATCATTAACCAATAAAAGAATACCAGTTAATAAGAAAACTATGTAACTTGTAGCCAGTGAACACTAATTCTTTTGTTTGCTAAATTCTATAAATAGTAAAAGTTCTGATAATTAGTGTGTGTAATTTATGCAATACCACCAATTGTGCAACTCTGAAATAAATAATCAATGTCTCTCTTAAGTGTGTCATTATTGGCTTGTTGCACACTGGGTAAAAAATCCGATTTTGGCAGAGAAGGTTGCCCAGCATTGAGGCAGTAGCTCCTGCTTTCTATATGTTATCATTTTAGAGACTGAATTGATTAGTTAAGTATTCCATTGCTTTCTTCAGGTGCTGCCTTTTGTTTGTTTGTTTAGGCACACACATTCAACATCAATAGACTCGTGCTGAATCAAGATTTTGAACTGTTACTCTAAGAGGAAGAATGTCTTCCTGTATGTTCCAGTCCTAGTCTGCCAGGCCCATTAGGTTTTCTTCCTAGCTTGTAGCAGAACCTTGAATCAAAAAACTCACTACAAAAATAAACACCATTGGCACAATTAAAATCTATGAAAAAAAAAAAGATAGCAAAATGCAGATTTATTTCATGGCTTCATTACAAATGTATTTACTTCCTGCTCAGCTGAAAATAAATTGGAACATACCATTGACAGTCTAAATGATTAATACTACATAAAAAAAGTTCATCTCAGAAATCACAAGCTACCAGTTTCAGTACCTGTAGGGATTTTTCCTAACAAAAATACTTATTTTAAAAAGCCCTGAACCACTTGACATGTATCATCACTGATACACACCGAACACCCACGCCACAACACGGCAGTGCAACTTTCTAACACAAAGTAATCAGTCCTCCAATGCTTAGTATCCATGCAGGTGTGCACATCCTCTTCCTTGGAGATCTATGTAGTTCTTTTCCTTTAAAGCACAGAGTTCAAGCTGCTGTGTTTATAACATTACACCTGTGTACAACCACTTCACGTTATTGTGAAGCCCAGCCCAGTCTGAAGTGCCCTTTACCTGTGGCACCTGCTGCTTATGGTGTTCCATGACAAAAATTTGCTTCCCTCAGCTTCCCTTATGTTGCAGAAATCCAGCCATGTGATCTCACTTTTGCTCACAGCAAAATTTAGTCTTTTTGAGTGAAACATACCCTCATTAACACACATTTGGTAGACACACACCAAGAGCTGTGGAAGGGAGCACTATTCAGTGAAAGGGCCAAGTTGAGAAGCACATGGGAATCTACATGTCATGACAGGTATGTGAATACCTGTACCAATACTCATGTGAAACATGGGACACAGGCAGGAACCAGCAAATAAATATCAAAAGATATCAAACCAAAAAAAACCTTACCATATTGAAACACACGATGCTATCACATTTAGCATTCTAATACCTACAGCTTGAAATAGCAACTGGAACTTAAGGGAAAAAATACATATCTCGCTGTTGTGAATTTAAGGAAAAAATATAAATCTCACTGTTGCAAATGTACAGTTGCTTTAGAATTGCTTTTTAAAATAGGAGTGAAGGACACCCAAATTCAGTTCAATAAGAAGCTGTTACTGTTCATTACAGAAACATAAACAAGCTAGCAATGAATCAAACTTAATGTGAATGTTCTGTTTTCATATACAGGGATTTGTTGTTTAATGCTTTATCAGTCATTTATTCTAAGTTCATCCAAGTTAATTTGTTTTCTCCCATTCCCTCATCCAGCTACCCTCTCAAGGCATGTACCTGCCAGTTTGCTTCAATGCCAGTCTTTTAACATTCTTGGCCTCAATAATGTATGAGAATGCTAGAGGGACCAGATTACTTCATGTGTGGCACCAGATTACTTCAACTGAAAGCAGCAGTGAGATTTTTCTTCATGTATATGAGCTGATCACCTCAGTTACCCTTTGAAGTTAGTGAAGACGGATATCTCCTTCAAGTATGACTTCTCCCATCCTAAAGATGGGGTTTTTTCCCCAGTGACTAAACAGAGAAACTAGGATGAATAGCTCAGATACAGGTATCTGAAATATGAAGGAAAAGGTTCCCAGTGAATCAGCCAAATATTTTTAACGAACCATTCAAAAGTATTATAGATTTTTATTTCTTAGTGCCCATAAACACACACAAACCCCACATCTCTAAAGTTTAAATACTATGAAATTAAATAACAGGAAACTTCATGTACATGTCAGTGGTCTAGACACAACAGAGACATACAATTAGGGAACTTCACTGGAAGTTTTTGGTGAAAAGAGACTAATATCCATAGCAGTCATTGTGATTTTCCTGACTCCAGTCTGTGCATTAAATCATTCTGTTTCTCTTCTCAGAACTGTATTTGAACAAATAATCATTCTCAAAAAAAAAAAAAAGAAGAAGAAAAAAGGCTTTGTAATTTCCCTAGAGAATCAAACAGGCCAACTGATAAGGAAACTTTAATCTTCTGGAATTAGCAATGGGAAAAAAAATCCAGCATGCTGGAAAGACAGGCAATATGTGTAACTACAGTTATGTACAAGCCGACTTTTTCTTCACCTTTTTCTCTTTGAGGTTTAGTGTTCTGCACTGTTCCAGGAGTCAGTTATGAGGTATGAAAAATCAATAAAAAGGTTAACATTATAACCATTTTAATAAAAGCCTACACTGTTTGCACTTTCAAAATATTTCTGAAAATAAAGTAAAAAAATATTTAGTATTCTTAAAAGTCTTAAGGAAGATTTTATTACAAAAGCAGTCATCTTTGTGGCGTCTTTCGAACACAATTCTGCATCAACATTAAACTCAGACATATGGGTATGCTTCATATTACCATCATACAAGTAATCACATTGAATTTCTATAGCAGTAAATATTATATAAAACAAAAAATATATATATACAGGTAGCCAGAAAGCTAATCAAGAAAAAATGATGTTGTCTGTACTGAAAAGTAAAGACCATTTTCAAATACTAACAAAAAATCCAATTTCTTTGTTGGTCTCTTCTGTCTTAAGACTTTGAATAGAAGGACTTCCACAGAGGAATTTCTACAACTTTGGTTTATAATGACCTAGAAAAAATTCATCCCTCATACATAATATTGATCTAGTGGATGTCTTTAAAGCTGATACGGAAAGCAACAGGGAAAACTACACATATGGATTTTATGATGAGAATAATAATTTAAACTCAGGATGCCATATTCCAAATATACAGAAAAGACCTGATTAGAGTAAACATATTTATCTTCTGCTATAAATTAGCTCATCCAGCCAGATCCCTACTCTTTAATTCCTCATGACTGAAGAAGCTATGTGTTCTCTCTATCTGATGAATAGTAGGCTATGTATGGAAAGCCTTAAGAACATGCTGCTTGTACTGAAGGGTGTATCTATTTCAGCACCTTTCAGATACAAAAGCTGGTACTAAGCTAGGCTGGTCATCACCATACTGGTGGAGTGTTCTGCTTGCCAGATACTTATCAAAGAGCATGCTTGGATCATATTCAGAAACAAATTTCTGAAAACTTTGTCCAGAAACCAGAAGAAATGGAAATAATTGCCACAGCTTTGTACTCTGTTACCCACTGAGAAACAGACTATATTTGTAGGAGAGGACCACACATTCATGCCTGTGGCACCACAACTAAAACAAACCAGTGTGTAGCCATGTTCATTCGTTCAAAGCCAAACTGGTGGACAGCACCACACTGCCACAGCCTTGCTGGCCAGATCTACAGTTAGTGTGGTGGCAAAAATAGTACTGAGCTAAAGTACCTGCATGACTTGTAGTACCTGAGCTAGCTTTGATCATACTGTGCTGATCAATTTCTCCCAGGGACATGGATGGCAAGAATAAAGGAATATGGAGAGACAGGTAAAGTTCCCCAGCTTTCATATCCAATAGCAAACTTTCAATCTTAAACAAACAAAACTAAACATCTCAAAAAACTGCAAAGAAACCGGAAAAACCAACAACCAGCAAATAATCAGACTTGTTACTACTTCCTGAAGCAGGAATGTAAATATATAATACATGACAAACAACTCTGGACAGCCAGAGTTCAAACGTTTATTAAAGCATAGCCCCTTTTGAGAGGTAACATGGTATCAACATAAACCACCTCTGAATCATCCCACATGGATGTGCTCAGTTTATGCATTAACAGCTATGCTTATTTATCTTCAGCAAACACACGAGCCATGGGAGACAAAGGTGAAGCCAGGTTCTTTCAGGTAACAGATCAACAGCCAAGGTCAGGTCTTCTGCACAGTTACTGCTCCACAGAAATTCTCCCTTTATTCCCCAGCAATATAGGAGCTGAAAGGTGTAATGTCCTTAACCAGAAAGCACTGAATTGCCTGAGAACACAGCAATTAGGTCCTACAGACACTATACTCTAATTAAACCACTGCCACAGAAGCTAAAGCAATTCTGACTTGTTGTCCATGTTGTCTGTGGTAGATGAGGCTGCCGGCAAGAACAGAAACTCTACCTGACTCCTCTGTTGCCTCACCTTCTTTTCATTAGCTGCTTGTTATAATCTCCATCTTCATCTAACAGTATTTTCTACACTTAGGCATACTTGAGCAGTACACTGGGTGACAGACATTTATGGTCAAATCCTTGCCCTTATTTACTCCTGTACAAATCTGACACTTCACAGGCTGGAGAGAGAAATGAGCATAAGGGCTTAACTCAAATTATATGAGTAGACTGATGTGCTGGAGAGAATTCATTCTTCCACTGTCTCTGCAGGACTGGCACTGGAAGGCAGTAATAAAACTGAAGTGGACAGATATTTTTCATACTTGAAAAGATCAGGATTTAAACAGGAAATTGCACTTTTAAGTATCACTTTCAGAAATAAAACTGCCTCCTGCTATTCATCCTGCTACTAAAAAGTCAGATGAAGATATCAAATTACACGTGTATGCTGTGAAATTCCATCTGCTTTGCTTTCATATACCTATAAAAATGTTCTAATGGACTTTAAAAGCAGTTCAAGTAAAAATAAAACGATCCCTCAAGCTGAAATGTTAGGATCTGTAGGAGGGCAAAACTGGACATTCAAGTGTGCGGTGCTGGTGGTGTTGTTTTTGAGAAATGATGACTGAAGCCTGTACATGGTCAAAAGTACCCATGTAACAGCAGTTGTAAACAGCATGCACGGGCAACCTGAAAAGGAGCATCAGACACCGCCTTTCTTTTGCAACTGCTCCAGTTTTCTTCTTAAGAGGTTGTAGTTTTCCTTGGTTCCTGGTGCCATGGGATCAAGCTTCAGAGAGACTTCATAGTGCTTCTTGGCCAAGTCAAGGTTTCCCCAGCGATGATAAAGCACAGCTGGAACATCAATGGGGAATTTCATTAGCAATATTGTTGAATAATGTACAATCTTGCCAATCACTTGGAGAACAACATTGAGGTATTTGTTTCCAGTGAGGGTCTGTCACTGGCTGGTGGCACAGTAGCTGCTTGTTCTGTTGCCAAACGCAGGAGCAAAGCCTGGGAGCAGAACTGGCATGGGAATGATGAAGGAATGAATTACAATGGAGCCATAAATGGCAGCTCTTATCTGGTGAGCTCATTGTGGGTTACAAGCATAGCATAAATGAACCAATTTGCAGACACTAAAGTGCAGCTACCTCTGGGCTGGATTTTGCAGCCCTCTTGATCTGTCATATCATGTGACAGCTTTTCTGGCTTTAGTGCCCTGTTCTTCTGGCTGGCAGTTCTTCTAGAAAGTAAAATAGAAATCTGCCCAGCAGGAAGAAGGCGCAAAAGATTGCTTTTTCTTTTTAAACACAATGAATATGAAGCAAATAAACAGTACAGTTGATAAGATTTAGAAAGGCTCTTACCCAAATTACCGTGATAACTGGCAGCATTTGGATTGGCTTTAATTGCCTTGAGGAACAAAGCTTCAGATTCCTGAATAATTTAAAATAACAAGTCATCAGGAAAGTCCATTCTCATATATATAAAACAATGCCAAATTTACCCACCACTGTAATTACAAACCCTCCAAAACTATGTCCTATCTATATGATACCATCATATAAATATCCTGAGCCTGCCTTATCCTGTAGCTCAGGTGGTTACAGCCCTCTGAAACCAGTAATAATGCTGCAAATAAGTGTCATGTTTTCACAGGCTGCTGTTAATTTAGCAGAAATTTATTAAGCACTTGTGAACTTTGCTTTTTACCTAAAGTACCTTTTTTAAAATAGTTATAGTATTTTCAAACATTACCTGCTGAAGTTTTCCCTACTTATGCAATCAAATTAAAGAAATGTAATTTGGTATCTAAACAAACTGCTTATAGACACTTTTCCTTTTACAATAGTTTTAGCATTAAAAATAGGGGCATTCCAGTAAATCCCTTTCAAACAGATGTGTGGTTCCCCATGAAGAGTAGCTGAATACCTTTTACTTAAAAAAGCAAAAAACATGCCAAATCATATCATGCCATGTAACATCCTTCACATTTTCCTCACCAGTTATCTTCTCTGTATTACTGCTTGCAATATGTGCTCTTAAGACTCTTGATATCTGAGTACCTCTTAGAAAACCTCAGGTCCCTCACCTAATATTCAGAAAATAATTTACTGCTAAATTTATTCTCTAATTAAAATAATTCTATTTTTCCAAACTAGCCGCTAATATTGCTCCTTTTTTCCCCAGAGCATATTTCCTGCAAAAGTTTAAAAACTCACATCCCCTCCCCAATCCAAATGGAGCATATTTACTCACTAACATGCACGTTTAGATACTTGAGAGCAAATTTTACATAGATTTCTATGCTGTGCTGTGCTCTAGGGAAAGTTGCTCATTCAGTTTCAATGCAAATGACCTGAAGATAAAATTACCTCAATGTGGTAGGCTTCCATCTGAATGCACATACTTGCTGTCTGAGGTATGTGAGAACAGTAACATGGAGAAAAGTCCTTTCCTTTGTGCTAAGCTTTCACTGCTTAAAATAAATCACAGGCTTTACTGAAAAAGAAAGCCTGTCAGCCAGATTTTTGGTTCCACCATCTTCTCATGTCAAGCATGAAATAACTCTCTGTAAGGGTCCCTTCAGGGGAAAAGAAATCTCTGATGTCAAGATTGAGTCACTCAGCTCTGAGTGACTGAAGAGCCTCCCCATATGTCCAAATTCAAACCCAAACTAAAAGCATTGCTGAGCACAGCTGAGGCTGCCATTCTCAAGCCAGGAGAGACTCATGCGGAAAGTGCCTTCATCTCCACAGGTAAAGGAAATTACAAACCCCAGGTTCTCTGAGCTAGTCCAGTGGAGAGCTATGAAGATGATGAGGGGACTGGAGCATCTTTTATGAGGAAAAGCAGAAGGAGCTGGGCCTGCTCAGCCTCAAGAAGAGATGACTGAGAGGGGACATCATCAATGTCTAAGTATCTGAAGGGAGGGTGCCATAAGGATGGATCCAGGCTCTTCTCATTCATGCCATGAAACAGCACAAGAGGCAATGAGCAGCAATGATGCACAGGAAGTTCCATCTGAACATGAGGAAGAACTTCTTTACTGTTCATGTGACAGACCACTGTAACAGATTGACCAGAAGTTGTGCAGTGTCCTTCCCTGGAGATATTCAAAACTTGCTTGGATGCAATTCTGTGCAACCTGCTCTAGATGAACCTGCTCTAGCAGGGGGTTGGATGAGACAATCTCCAGACGTCCCTTCCAACCCCAACTATTCTGTGATTCTGATTTTGTTTCAGGACAAGGAATATTTGGAGAGGAGTTAACAAGGGGAACCAGATGTCTGCAAATTTACCTCCATAGTGCAAGTTTTAGCATTGCTTTCCTATGGCATGAGCAGTTGCTCCAGCATTCTCATATCCAGACTATTAAAGTTCCTGGATGCATTGGTCTTTTTAAAACCCATACTGTTTAGTGATTTCATTCATATTTTGGATGGTGGGACTGAATGCAGTTTCAAAACTTTACAGATAGCACCTAAGAGGAGGGAGTAAGAAATACATTGGAAGGGAGAACAGCTATTTTGAGGGACCTGGGCAGGGTAGAGAAACAGACTAGCAGGAATCACAGAATGGTTGAGGCTGGAATGGACCTCTGGTGGCCATGTGACTTTGATAGGTATTGTATTTGCGGGGTGCCCAGACAAAGGAGGGAATGATGAATCTGACTCCATGTTCTTAGAAGGCTAATGTATTATTTTATGATACTATATTATATTAAAGAATGCTATACTTAACTATATTAAAGATAACTTCCTCTATACTAAAGAATACAGAAAGGATACTTACAGAAGGCTAGAAAGATAATAATGAAGCTCGTGACTCTGTCTCCAGAGTCTGACACAGCTTGACCCTGATTGGCCAATAAGTCAAAACAATTCACATGAAACCAATGAAACAACCACCTGTTGGTAAACAATCTCCAAACACATTCCACATGTGAGCACAACACAGGAGAAGCAAATGAGATAAGAATTTGTTTTCTTTTTTCTCTGAGGCTTCTCAGCTTCCCAGGAGAAAATCCTGGGTGAAGGGATTTTTCAGAAAATATGAATGCTACAGATAAGCACTTCCGAGACCACACCTGGAGTATGTGTTCAGGCTGGGGATCTCCATTAAAAGAAAGATACAGACATACTCCAGTGAGTCTTCCAGAAAGCCACCAAAATGGTACAGAGCTGGAGCACAAGATGTGCAAAGACCAACTGAGAGAACTGGATCTTTTCAGCCTTCGGGAGAGAAGATGAAGGTGCTGCCTACAAGTACCTGATGAGATAATACAGAGAGGATGGAAACAGACTCTTCTCACATGTCTGTGAGATGGGGTGAGACATAACGGATGCAAACTGGCATACAAGAAATTCCAATTAAAGGAAACATCAATTTATTTTTTTCATTATAAAGTTGGTCAAGCATTGTAAAATGCTGTCCAGAGAGATTATAGAATCTCTATTGACAGAGATAATCAGGATTCAACTGGAACTGGCACTGGTTTGGATTAGAGGTTGGATTAGATGACCTTTAGATGTCATTTCCAGGCAAAATTATTCCATGATTTCCATGTTTCTCAGTCACCTGAGAAACATACTGAGACTCAAAAATTTGGCAAGTGGTGCAAGATAACTTCCTCTTTTTATACAACTCTCAAATCCTAAATATCAACAGTGGATTGGCACTTGAAAGCATGCAGTAATTTCTAGTCCCATAAAGTTGTGCTTTTTCCCACTCCAAATTTTGTGGTCTAGTAAATCTCTTTTCCTCACTGGGCAGGTTAACAACAATTAATGAAAGATATACTGAACACTTAAATCAGCCTTATGCCTAAAAATTGCCACTTAGACAGAGAAGGAGCGCCTAATGTACAGACTTGCATCTGTTCACTGCTGAAGGACAGTGGGACAACACGTGCAATGTGCTTCCAGATAATTTAATGAAATAGATATTCAAGAGCTGCCTGCCATTACCATACATCTTCAACTCCATGCTGAGAATATTTTTATCACCACTACTTCGCTCAGCAGCTAGTAGAAGCATAGTGGTTGTTTAAAGGCTATTTAAGGTGCATCATGTTCATATTACTGTGGATATATGGAGTAAATGTACATTCCAGTATATCAGTGGTATTTCAAATTGCTGCATCTTGCCAAATCTTCAAGTGTTGCCAAGAAACTTGCAGCTTGCATATAGCAAAGGCTTGGGGTAAGCACACAGCATTCCATCTGCTGCCAAGGCCACAAAAATGTAGTCTGGCTTTATTTCAAATACAAAAAATGCTGAATGGTTTCAATTTATTGCACTTTTTACAGAAAAAGCATAGATGTATATGTAACAAAAATACAGCACACATCTTTTTCAAAGAACTAAAGATAGCTTGGTTCTTCATCAGTTGAGATAAGAACAGCATTTAAAGGAGAATCAAACTTGGTATAACAGATGTTAATTAAAAAACCCAAACAAAACCACAGAAACAGCTCATCCTTTATGTGCTTTTCTCTCTGGAACAATAAATCATTCATCATTAGATACAAACACAAAATAAAGGGCTATTTTTTCATTTTTTGTGGTGTAGGAAACCTATCTTCTGCTGAAAATCGAAGTATATTTGAAACTGAAGGAGAATGTTGTGTGCTTATTGGAAGGAAATGTCTCACAACATAACAAAAACTTTTTGACTCAATGTCTTTTAAAATAAGAGATAACAAAAAACCCCAGAACAAATCTTCCTGTGCGACAACAGAGCCAACATAGTAGCAACTTTTATACAGACACATAACGAGTAACCTAATAAATTAAATGCCTGAGGTTATACAACACATCAGACACAGCCAGGCAGCACTCTGAAAATTACCTCCATCACCTTGACAGTCTCCATCCCCCGTTCCTCCCCTCCAATTCTACTCAATAAAAATCCTTGAAGAGCCATCCACTTCTCTGTTTTTACATGGTGAGGGGGTGGACAAGAAATCTGAACTTTTCATGCTTTTTTTTGGTCAGTAAGCATTCTCCCATTACAAACAAATCTCTATCTCCTCTTTCCAGGCAATGCCAAATACAGCTGCTAAGATCATAACCTTTGTGAGTCCTCTTTCCAATTCCCTTAATTTGTTCTCCCTGTTATAACCCATCAGTTTTAGTGATTAGTTAAGCTCTGCACAAAACTACTACTCCATATTGAACTATTAAAACACTCACTGGTGCCCTGTTTTTTTTTTTCTGGGCTCCACTATTCCTTTTGCTTTTTTCAGAATGTGGACTTAAAAGCTGCACTTTTCCCTACTCTTACTTCTACATTGTCTCCAACAAGTTCTCCTGCAGCATAATAACCTTTCAAGGCTGGCAATCAAAACCACTATCTTCTTTTTTATTTTTTAAATCCACTAAGACAGTCTTGTCTCTCCTGCACCTGGAAAAATTTTCTAGCTTGTTTTCAACTTATTTTTTCAACTTTATTTCATTATAAATGCTCTGTATTCTGCCATGCTACATATTCTCCCTGATGAATGACTATAAAATCCTCTATTCTTTCACAGGCCTGACTCACCAAAATAATTCTAGCAATTACCTCCTCCATAATCTCATATCTTATGCGTTCTGGATGTTAATTTGTACCCTTCTGGAACTTTGTTAAATCAACCTAAAATATGTATTTTATAACAGTCTCAGGTGGAGAGAGAAAAGAATTACAGTGTCCAGATTTTTTTTCCTGGACACTAGCCAGTCTAGAAGAACAGTAACTGGGTGTTTAACAGCATCACTAACACAAAAGCCAGTGCTGGTTGTCACAGGCCCTGGCCTCACATGTGAACAGGTCAGGACTCCACAGCTGATCAGTACTGTAGAAATATAAGTGGTCACAGTAACTACTGGACAGATATATCTATTTTGAGAATCATGGACTTATTAAAGTTGGAAACGACCTTTAAGATCATGAGGTCTAACTGTAAACCCCACACTACCAGCATGTTCACCAATAAACCATGTCCTCAAGTGCCATATCCATACATTTTTTGAACACTTCCAGGATGGTGGATGCCACCACTTCCCTGGGTAATCTGGGCCAATGTTTTACAATCCCTTTTGTGAAAAAAATTTCCTAATATCTAATCTAAACCTTTCCTGGTGCAACTTAGGCCATTTCCTCCTGATAAGTTTCATACTATAGAATCTTCTTACTTTGTATATACATGAGGATGTTCCTGTAGTGCTGTAAACATTATCACTATCAAAAAGACATCAAATCCCTTAAAAGCCTAAAAAAACCTTAAAAAGGTTCAGCAAATGATGTTTTTCAAAGGTACACCAAGGACTTGATTATTAATTTTTCCCTATCACATACATAAATCACTGATAATAGAGTCAGTTTAAACAACTAACTATATTAAATGTATTTGTAAACTGTATTAAATGTATATATGATTTATTCTCTGTCATATAAGCTTATAATCTGATACAATTCCCTTTGGGAAACAAGTCATCCTCATCAGTTTCATTACATTTACTACTTGCAAATAAAGGTAGCTAATGCTGAGGGTACCACTCCCAGGCTGGTCCACTGCATCCAAGAGAAAGTTCAATGCATTCAGCAATGCATGTACTTTCTCTCATAGCATTCTGAGATCATCCAAGTATCCCATCCTCAGTCTGTGATTAACAAACTCATATTACTAGATTTTAGATCGTGTCTGAGGCAAAAAGGCCAGAATTCTTATATATGTGTGTATATATATATATATATATATATATATATATATATATATTTTCACAGGATATATAGCAAAAGCAGAAGGACTAGCTTGGCCCATCTAATTTGAGTTCCTGAAATAAGGTCTCTAATTCAATGCAGGCTCTCTCCCTCTGCAGTGAAGCAACACAAGACCCTAACTGCCCTCTAGTGTGCTTAAGAGCCTATTTCTCTCCACTGACCACTGACATAGTGTAGGGCAGCAACACTTGTAACCTAGGCATCTAAAATAAGGAGGGATAAGCTCAAGACAGAATCACACACCAATACTGTGGTAGAGAAGGGCACTGAAATGTTTGAAACAGATTCTCTAAGTCATAGTCCACAATGATCTCCTCAAACGATTTTTACAAAAAATGTAGATGGAGTTTAATTAAGGAAAAAATCCCAATGAATCCAACCCAAAGCCCTAGAGTCAAAAAGCTCTAGTTACCTACCTTATATTTTTGTGATTTCCCCAGTACATTGGCCAAGGAAAACATAAGGGAATGATCATTAGGTATTAATTCCAGGGCTTCTCTTCCAACTGCTTCTGCTTGAGCTAGATTGCCTGGGAGCCCAGAGAAAGAGAAGGCATGTTTTAACACAGCCTTATTAGTTCATGCTGCAAGCACACATCTTTTACAAATAGCTGACTGCATAATTTTTTAGAGAAAACCAGGTATCACACACACACACACACAAATGTAAAATCCTGTAGACTAAGGCAAAAGAATATCTTCATTTTGTTTTCAATAGATAACACCTTCAGAAGAACAAGAAAGCAGAGATTAAAAAGTTCTGGAATTTAATCTACAATACAAACATGCTTGCACAACGATGGCATTTTAAGTAAGTATCAGAAATTCAATTTATGGGCTGGATTTCAAGTGATGCTTCTGACCCTTCACTGAGTCAGAAGGCATTCTTATAGTATTAGAAGGGGTCTGGGTAGCCAAAGAAGAGGTAGAGATCCTTTTAGATAAAAACAGATAAAGGTTCAAATTTTTCTAGACACTGAATTATTCATTAAAACATTCAAAAAGACTTTTACCTGTGTTATCAAGCAGTATTATCATATTGTTCCAGGCCAAACTGTGCTCTGGTTTCAGGACTGTAGCATTCCTCCATGCATTCAATGCATCTATGTGGCGATTCAAATCTGCATACTAAAACAAAAGAAAAATCCAGTAATTTTGCTACTACTTGCTCTACTTTCCTATCATTCACTAAAGACACTAAAAAGTTGTTAATGTCTTGTCCTTTCTAGTAGGATTTCTTTTTATAGACAAAAATAAACATAAAAGGAATAAGCTTGTAGTATGGAAGATAAGAATGCTATATACTAATTTTCCTTTTCTTTTCTCTGCAAGTGAGGCTTGTCTTCAAATATGCATGTACCAATAGAAAAAGGAGAAGAAACAGCATACAATTTAGAAATCTACACAAGAGATTTAGTAAATATTTAATGTACATATTTTCAAAAATCTAATCTGAATTTTTCAGCACAGTTCTACTAGCTAACAATATACTAAGGAATGCAAAACATTGGGAAATTATTAATAATACCTTCTGGGAAAAAAAAATTAAATCTGTATTTTTGTTGATACTTCTTTATATGATAAAGTAGGATTACCAAAGGTTGTATGGAAGGAAGTATACTGGGAAAGCAATAGGAAAAGCTACCAAAAGTGTGAAATCACCCTAAAATACAATATAAGCAAACTGGGATAACTATCAGCTTTTAACAGTACAGCAGAATTATATAAATCTATCTATATATATACATACAGAAAGACACACAGATTCCAGTCATAGCTATCATTTATTCAAAAGCACTTACCAACCGCCCTAGATTGTAGTAACAATCTGGATATTTTTTTCTGTGTTTAATTGCTGTCCAGTAGCTTTGCTCTGCCTCTTCAAACCTTCTTAAACTGTTCTGCACTATTCCTAGATTCATCCATGCAGCAGCAAAATCAGGTCTGGGCAAATTGGGAAAAAAAAAACCACCGAGAGAGAGGAAAATTAAGCATTTGAAACACAAGATCCTACTGTATCATTTTGGCTCAGTTGGTGCAAAACACTGCTGAGCATTGGTCTAAACATACTGTATTTGTACAGCTAAGGACAGCAACTCCTCGGCTTCATGGAGCTCATTTCTTTCTTTCAGAATATTTCCAAGGTTGTTCATGGCATGCACATATTTTGGATTCAACCTAAAATTTAAAATTTAAGAGATTATTATTATGTATGGACATGTATTAATATATGCAAATTGCTAGCTCTGCAACACTGCAGAACATGAAAATGAATACCTAAGCATTTTCTTCATGTTAAACATGAAAGCAATTTTAGGAAATATCATTAAAGCAGTAAAATTTCCAATACCTTACAGCTTCTCTGTAGTATTTGATTGCAGCACTTTGATTTCCTTTGTCAGCCAGGTTTTTGCCAACATTGTAGTGCACCTGAAAACACAGATGGATATTCCACCAGATGCCACACAGATATTTTGTGGAATCAAGTAGCTAAAAATTCTTTCTCTAAAAAGAAACAGTCAGCAGTTGTGTCATTCACTGCTGGCTTATAGTGTAGGTTGATACTTAGGATTGGTTAATTCATACAATGAAGACAGTAAGACAAAATCTGAGGTACAGATCAGCTTACCTATTCCAGCTATTTAAGAAAAATTATTAATTTCCTAGTTTTATAAGTGAGGTCACCACACCTTTCACAAAGCACTTTGTATGGAGATCTCCTGCTCTTAATTTAATTTGTTTGACAGATAAGAGAAAGTTTGACTCAAATCAAATCTATCATAGCAGAAGGAACACTACAGCAATGTGTCTAACTTTATTTTCATTATAGCATAAACTAGAAGAAACCCAACATTCACAAAAAACCCAAAGAAAAGGTAACAGACAGGCAAAATTATTGTCTAAAGATAAAGGTGTATCAAAGAGCAATTGTGAAATAATATATATAGCAACACGTTGAAGACTTTGCCTGTTGAAAACTGAATGATGAAGGAAGGATCTAGAGCTTTCAGACTACAGGGAGAAGATTCATCATCCTAATTTATGGCAAGAGTAAATAGGAATAAATAAATTTCAGAACAAATCTGAGTTAGAAGACATCTCAAATCCCACTTTAAGAGAAATCTCAGAAGACTGTTACCTGGTTGAAAAGTACTGGGAGTGCTGACTCTTGAAAAGAGATTTCTCAGCACCCAGAGCAGGACTTATTATTTAGATTACTTTACTATTTGAAATTGAATTGTATACACTTCATCTAAAACAAACACACATGCAAATTTTTTCCAAACTTTGAAAATCAAATTTCAAAACAGTATACAGGAATAACTTCAGATTGAAGTCTAAAAAGATAGGTTCATAATGCACTTAGATAAGTCTAATTCATCTTCTACATTCAAAAAAGGATTTTATCTGACATGTCCATTAACTGAAAACCCCTAATTGAAGTTGACATAGTATGTGGGACCTACTGATCCAGCACACATGAGTGTTGGAGCCTAGTTGTTATGGCATTTAATTGTTGAATTTCATCTCTATGTAACTATTGTAACATGCAGTAACATACCACCACCAAATAAAGTTAAGGACATTTCCCATGCTGTCTCAAATGGGAGAAAAAATATTTTCACTGGTTTTACAGAGAGCAGAGATGCTCTAAAGCTTACTAAGCATGCACAGAGGCAGCTCCTCACACTGTAAGATATAAAATAGCACACAAATTCAGCACCCCATAAAAGCAGCTCTAGCACAGCTTCCACAAAGAAAAAAATCCTGGCACTGTACTGTACATTCGTAAAAATATGACAAGGCCCATGGCAAAGAAGCAAGAGAATGGTACATTTACATCAAGAAATAACCAAACAAAGATCCATTGACAGTGTCAAAAAATACAAGAAGATGATAGAGCAACATTTTCCCAGGAGTCATTTAAGTAAAATGAAATACCCTGAAAGATGTTTCTCAGGACTGAATTCTATTTATATATCTCTTCCAGAAATTATTCAGAACACTAAGATTCTTACCAAATTGGATTGCTCTGATTATATATGTTGAAGTTCACATATTCAAATTTTACCCAGATAAAAGATAAATTGTGGCAACACAAAATAAATACTTAAAGATTTCACTGAATACTGGATGTTAGCCCTTGAAGTAGATAACTTTACACTTCAGTATCAGCAAACAAAATTATATTTAACTTGACTGAATTTCATTCTTTAAGAAGCTTTACAAAATGAAATTTTACTAAAGACCGGGACAGAGCAGATGAGAAAAATCTTGGTGTACACCAACCACTCAGTCTTTCACATGTCAGCTGTCTTGTGTTAGGAAACAGCACTTCACTTTCTATTTTTCACAGTTTTTTTTAAAAAACATGTAGTATCTTCACATCCATTTTTTTTCTCAAAAGTACCAGCAGCAAGAATATTTTTCTCATGTAAACAGAATTGTGCAGTCTGAAGAAAACAGAGATATCAATTCTCTCAAGTCAAAACATCAAATGAAGTATTAAGTGCACAGGTACATTTTGTGAACTGAACTAAAAAGATGTACTATAATCTATTAAAACTGATTGCACAACTATTTAAATAAACTATTAACTTTTCAATGGTGTATTTCTTTTGCCTTCAGCTATAGCTCCTGTGTGAAAGGAAATGATGTTTCTATACAATACTCCCAAAAATGAAGGGCTCCTTGCTGTATGTAAGTTTTCTAATTTCCCTTCAAGTGAAATTGTAGCTTTAGTTCCTCTTAATATGGTGGTGACAAAGAAAGGAAGAGGAAAGAAGCCCAAAACCAAACATATCAAAGGAAGTGCCCAGCCTACCAGAAACATCCAGTGACAAAACCAGCTCTGCAATGGGTTATAGGATGCAGTAAGATCCTGCTCTTAAGAGCAGAAGCAGCAGAGGGTTTCCAGGCACATCCAGACATCTGAGAGGTACTTGTGCCATCCAGCTGTGTCTCTCACTTCAGTGGCCATGGCAGAGAGAAGCCAAGGTCAGCCTTTAGCTCACTGAAGGCAGGCCTGCAGTAACCAGTGCTGTCTGCTGAGCACAGGGCTGTGACTCTCCTGCCCAACATGGGACACAGGTGCTTCCTATGGACCAGTGGGTGGGAAGAATCTGGTCTTTAATAATGAGGGGCTGGTGAGTTGTTTAAAATTTCATCTCTAGAGGTGTGGCTCTTCTGTTTTTGACAGATATTGTGCATGCCAGCCTGGGAGGGAAGGTTTTTTTTTCCTTTCCTGGTTAAACATTTAAGAGCCCTTCGTTATTAAATGATTAAATATTAACTGGAAATGACGTATTACATTATACTCAGATGATCCTTTATCAATCTTAAACAAGCAATTACTTTACAGTAATAGCTCTAAAAGGAGCATTTCTCAGGGATGCATAACAACACAGTATTCTCAGAAATCTAAGAGATCAGGTAAAAATACCCTAGGGTAGAACCTACTTTCAACAGGCATGTGTTAAGTTAACATAACCATAGCACCAGAGCCTAGCCAAGGAATAGGCTCTATGTATTTGTCTGTACAATACTTCAATCAACCTAAGAAGCCAGTATAAAAAAGAAAAAGCACTGCATATTATTCTGTGCCAGATATCCATAGTACTTGAACTCTTATTTGAATGTTAGGAGAGGAAAGAAAAAATATTTTCCTGTACAAAAATGAAATTGTTGCCAGACTGATTTTTTGCTTTTGTTTTCCATCAAAGCAGAACAGGAAGAAATTGAAATGCAATATCATCTTCGAGGAAGTACACCCCCTCAGTTGGAGCAGTACTATTATCACCAATTTTACTCTCTCTTCCTAACTGCTGATAATCTCTTTTTCAGTGAATATGAACATTTACTGAAAAGGATGAAGCAAAGCACAGATGTCAAAATTTCTCCAGGAACATGCAGATGCCTCTGTTCAATGCCAGCTTGTGTCATCAATCTTCTCTTTCTTCTACTACTAAACCTCTGTTTTCTAAATAATAATAAAACAAAGCTTTTTTGATTTTCACATCTTGTTTGTGTATCTAATGTTGTCTAAAGATTCTTCTGCATGACTCTGCATATATACACAAAAATTGACATCTAAAATGGTGGCAAAACACTGCAAATAGCCTGTATAAACACAGCCCACAGCACTTAAGGTAAATTCCCAGAAGATAATCCCTTTTTAATATGGAGCATAAAGAAAAAAATCTCAGTATCTAAAGGAAATGCCCTCTAGATCAGCCTCCTTAAGGATCAAAGATCAGATCCTCAGGCAGCATTAAATCTTGTTCTGTAACAAAGAGGTTTTACAGGATCTTTTAAGAAAGTATAGAAACCAATCTCACAAACTTACTGTACCTTTTCAGTATTAGCATAGTTAATCTCTGACAAATGTACATCTATAATGATTGCAGTTTGCATAAGGCATAAATTTCAAAGTTACTTAGTATGTCAAGGCAGATAGTTAGTAACATTGTGTTGGGAGTATTTTAACTTCCTTGCTTATTATTGCATAAAAATTGCTACTGAAATGGCTTTTCAAAAATTATGTTTATTAATTTCTATCCTTTAAAGAAAAGCCAGTAGCAAGGAGAATGTAGAGATTATGTACAAAATCACTATAATTTACAGTCATTTAAATTCAGTTATTTCAAATCTAGGAAAAGAAAAATGCTGGCTATTTCCCATGTGTGTAACAGTGTAACTGCAATTATTTATTTAGGGAATCAATGAGAGGAAGTCATCCAGGAATAAAGACCATATCTGGATTCTTAACTGCTATGGCTTTTCTAAAAGCTGACAAAAAATAACTCAGTTCTTCAAACAATGCAAACATTTCTAACAGAAAAAAAAAAAAAGACAGCAACATGAGCATTTTTGGGAATAATCTTTAAACTTGAAAGAAACAATGTGTAATGACTTCAGAAGGTGAGGAGCAATCCAGCAATGTCTATAAATAGTGAAAAACAGTAGGAGAGGGTCAAAATCTCACATAATCTTACATATCCACATCTGCTCTAGTTGTCAAGACTTCTTTTATCATCAGTGGAGAGAAAGACAAATCTAGGATACAGTCCTTCTGACTTGGGTCTCTCATTTAGTCCAAGGAGAGGAACTAAATGCTAAAAGAAACAGCTTCTTCTCCCCTGGAGAAGAACCCAATCCATACAGTATGAAAAAGGTGGTAGGGAAAATGGAATCAATACAGAGGCACCTCCTTTCAGCAAAGGAAAATACTGCCAAATATATTAAAAATGTGTATTGTTTCAGTCTGATGACCTTTGAAACCAACCTGGACCTGTTTAACCAAGATCTGTAACATACTTATTTCTCTCTCTTAAAAAAACCTACCTACCCACCCACCACATATTATTTATATATATATATATATAAAAACATAAATATATAACATATATTTTTTTTAAATATTGTAAATAAATAACATTTGAATAAATTTAACAATATTTAAAACATTTAAAAATCTGCATTGGGAACATTTTTAGAGGTTAAAATATTTTGTAGCTTCATTATGGTACCTGATTATTTCCAATATATTTTAAAGTCACTGGGCAATGTTTATTAAAGTTGATCTTAAATGTCATCCTCCTGAGCCAGATGTGTCAAGGCACCACATTCACTACTGTGCTACACAGTCTCATTTAATGCAGTTTCCACATTTTTATCTAAAGGATATGTTTAAAGAAATGAGTCTTGAAATTAAACAAGGCAGTGCTGTTACAACTTGTTATTTAGAATTAGGGTAAGTTTACTCCACTTCCCACACAGACAATTTGGAATTGAAAAGAGCTGTATAACAAAACATGAACAGCTTTTTCTGCTACTGAGGATTTGAGATTTTGAGATCCTGATACATAATGGAAGCAAAGCATGACCACATTACACATATTTAATATGTTCCAAGAACAACAAGAAAAAGCTATTATCTGTGTGCCATTCTTTGGTCTGCAGCAGGCTCCCACTGAAATAAATGGGTCACTGAAAGAAAGTCCTGTGGAGTCATTTTTAAAGGAAGCCTGCAATTTCAAGACAACTGAAGATCAAAACAAAACCAGATTCAAATTTTTACATTTACCTTTATCAAAAATAAATAAATATAGCTGAGTTCATAGAGAAAACAAGACATAGGCCCTCATACATGGACTCTCTAATGTTCCTGCTTAGAAAAGTTCCCAACTATTGTGATTTCAAAGTTACATCCTTCAGCAAAATTGGAATGTGAGCCTACCATCCTTTCCCGGTTCGCATCTCCATGCTTTCCCCTTGCACAAGCTGTCACCAGCAGAAATACAGCTCAGGCATGTCTACAGTGCCCAGTGTTGACAAACACAAGCTCATTTTGCCTGTACATTCATTGGCTTTAAACCAGCTGCATTAGCTCAGTCGCTTGTGCACAGCTTATCGGCTCAAGCCCAGTAGTGTGGGAGCACAGCCACACAGCTTCCCAGCCAGGCATGGCTGCAGGCCAAGGAGCTTGGAGCACAGGCAAAGACTGGGGATCTGTCTAAAGCACTCTCACCATGGCAGATGGATGGAGCTGCACACAAAGAAAACAGATTGCATTTGCTCCATTTATAGCATGCGCTTGTCATCCAGAAGACAAGATATACTGAGGTCATCATTAAAAAGAAGATGGTTGCCTACCACTGCCACACAATAAAATACAACAGCTCTTTCCTATGTATTAAAATCTCAGACTATTGAAAGATGCCACCATGTTGCAAATATTGGCCATAAATGTTTTTTACAGCTCACTGTTGCGTATTTGTATTCCAGTAAATGCTAAGTTTATCATTCTCTTTGTGAAGTTGAGCCTTCACAGGTTCCTTTTTAAACCCTGTGTCTTGATTGGCATTTTCTAGATACCCCTCTAGATTACAGGAATCTAATCTTTTAAAACATCAATGCGTTTTCATTGACAAGCTGCACATTCCCACTCCCAGGCTCTTCAAAGAGTCTCTTTACTAAAATTCAGACAACATCAGGGCTCAGTGGTGTGCTCCAACAGATCACACTCTTGGCTGTCAAAGGACTGCTGTGGAGGTCACCTCTGTTGGAGGCTGGAGTCAGTCTCTGATGCTGAACACTGCTGCTCAGCTCAGTGAAACATCCTATCCAGCCCCACCATCTTACTTGTTCCCTCACTAAGCCTGCAGGGAAAACTGCAGCTTTCCTCAGTGCCCATGTCTGAAGAGTCTAGCCCGCTCGGCTGCTGTAAAAAAGCAGAAGTGGGAGCAAGATTTTACTCCCACATCCTGCAATTGCATTGATGATATGCTGCTTTGTCCCTCAGCTGTGCTGGCTTTATATACCACTGGAAGGTTCACAGAAAGGATTCTAAAAACAGCATAGACATTTTTCAGCTGAATATATTGCTACAATTTACTAACTGTGTTTTGATATTTTTGTTGCAATAACTTGCAATTATACACACAATTCTTCTAAATAGATTTTATTACCAGTACATCCAATTTGACTTGATGCCTTTCTTGAAGTGCATTCTCCCCTCTCCCTCACCTCCCCACTCCCACCTCCAAGTTCTGAATTACAATATTGTAATTTGCACTTTCTGGTATTTTGACTATGCTGCCACTGTAATTTAGATGTCTGACATGTCAATGTCATTCCTGAACCGAGCAAGACTGTGAATAACACTGTAGCACAATACATTAACTATGCATAATACCTCCTTGACCCCACATCTGAAAACAAAAAAACAAAAAGTAAAAAAGATTACAAGTCAATGAGTGACTTACTTTTGCATTCAGAGGGCACACAGACAATGCGCTCCTAAAAAGCTGTTCTTCTGACCTCCACTGACTGCTGCGGAGCGCACAGCGCATAACATTTATCAACAGGATTCCAAGTACTGCCACAGCAAGAATTTTCTTAAGGAAAGAGAGGCAAGTTAAGAAACAAATCATGCAATTGAACTGCTTCATCATCAACAACTTTACTGATTATTTTGATGGTACCTTTTTCTTGGCTTGCTTACTCAAGAGACTAAATCCATATGTAAAGAGAATACAATATCCAATACTGGGGAGGTAGATGACTCTCTCTGCAACAACAAATCCTACTCGGAAGAAGAGATTACTTGCAGGAAGAAAAGGGATAATAAGAAATCCAAGTCCCAGTGTAAGGATTCTGCAAACAAGAAACATTCTCAGGTTAACTACAAATCTTAACTAAAGTACCTTTTCCACTTAACATATTAACTTTATTTAAACATTGTAGAAGGATGTGCATATAGGGCAGGGAGGCACTTTAAAAATCATTGCTATAATTTCCAGAAAAGCAATATTCATGCTTCCAGGCCACAAAATAGCCCCATTACATATTAATTATAGAACTCCTGTTTAAAATACAGGAAAAGTAATGGTAAAAGCTATCTGTCTATTTTTGGACCTAGTAAGACAGTAATGGGAGCAAAAACATAAGTGACTGTTAAAGAAGAAACTTAGGTGCACATTCAGCTGAGAGGGTGGTTTTTCTCCTAACAAACACATCAATAGTAGAATCCATTGTGGTTAACCACTTGAAAGTTAGTAATCTACTCTCTTTCTACAGACAGAAGAGACACACAGCTTTTGAGAGCAGTTTGTTTCCTTTTCTTTGGAACCAATGTTAGCATCCTCAGCAAGTAGCTCTTTATGGACTATACAGAGCTCAGACAAAAGAGTCTAGGTACCTCACTTTTACAGAGCTGACATAAGGGAATAAGAACCTCAGGTCTGTGTTAGGTGTTTCTTACCAAGGCCACAGGCAAGGTAATTGTCTATTCTAATTTATTACAAATGAATCTCTACACTGTAAGGTAGATGCATCCTACCTTTTCTCATTCCCAGAAGTCCTAGGCCTTCACTATACATTTTATCTTCACTTTTTACTAAAAACCTATTTAGCAATAAAGGCTTAGTGAGTGCATTTTTACTAGAAAGTAGGACATCACTAGCAGCAAGAGTTCCACCCCCTCTCCAAAATGATTTATCTATGCAAATAAGTATGGGAACAGCAGAAAGGCAGGCAGATACACTGTTAACATTTGAAGGGATGAGAAGGAAGAAAAGAATAAGATTTTGCACTCTGAACAACACACAACTCTGAATTACCTATGTTGGTGATAAAAGGAAGACTGTGGAAAATGTGGAAGCATTTGGTAAGCCTGGCTACCCAGGACATGGAGAAGGCTGAGGTATTCAATGACTTTCTTGTCTCAGACTTCACCAGCAAGTGCTCCAACCCCACCGCTCAAGTCACATAAGGCAAAGGCAGAGACTGGGAGAACAAGAAACTGCCTGCTGTAGGAATAGGTCAGGTTCAAGAACATCTAAGGTGCACAACTCCATGGGATCTGGTAAGGTGCACTTGCAGATCCCAAGGGAACTGATGGATGAAGTTTCTAAGATAGTGCTGAGCTCCTACCCATCATACTTGAGAAGTCATGACAGTGTGCTGAAGTTCCTACTGACTAGAAAAGGGGAGACATAACCCTCATGTTTTAAACAGGGAAAAAGGCAGTCTCAGGAAAGTAGGTCAGTAGGTCACCTCTGTGCCTGGCAAGATCATGGAGCAGATCCTCCTGGAAAATATGCTAAGGCACCTGGAAAAGAAGGAGATGATTAGTGAAAGCCAATCTGGCTTCACTAAGGGAAAAATGTGCCTGACAAATTTTATAGCCTTCTACAATGGAGTTACAGCATTGCTGGATAAAGGAAGAGCAAGTGATATCATCTACCTGGACTTGTGCAAAGCATTTGACACTGTCCAGCATGACATCCTCATCTCTAAACTAGAGACATGGAGTTGACAGCTGGACCTCTTGATGGCTAAGGAAGTGGCTAGATGGTTGCATGCAAAGAGCTGGAGCCAATGGCTCAGTGTCCAGAGTCCAGTGACAAGTGGTGTTCCTCAAGGGCTGGCATTGGGACTGGCACTGTTAAACATCTTTGTTGGTGACATGGATGGTGGGACTGAGTGCACCCTCAGCAGGTTTGCCCACAACACCCAGCTGTGCAGTGGAGGGAAGGGATGCCATCCAGGGGGACCTGGATAGGATAGGTGGGCTGATGCAAACCTCATGAAACCCAAGTGCAACGTCTGGTGCTTGGGTCAGGACAATCCCATGAACAAAGATGGGCTGGACAGAAAATGGGATGAGAGCAGCCCTGAGAAGGACTTGGGGGTGGTTCAGTGATGAGAAGCTGAACATGACCCAGCAATGTGCACTTGCAGGGCAGAAAGCCAACCATATCCTGGCTTGCATCAAGGAGCATGGCCAGCAGGGCCAGGGAGGTGGTCCTGCCCCTCCTACTCTGCTCTGGTGAAATCCCAGCTTGGAGTGCTGCCTCCAGCTCTGGGGCTCCCAAGATAAAGAGGACATGGACCTGCTGGAGTGAGTGCAGAGGTGGGCCATGAAGATGAGGAGAGGGCTGCAGCATGTCTCCTATGAAGACAGGCTGAGAGAGGTGGAGTTGTGTATCCTGGAGAAAGAAGCCTCCAGGGAGACCTTCTAGCAACCTTCCAGAGGGCAACAAGGGAGCTGGAGATGGGCTTTTCAAAAGGACGCGTAGTGATAGTGCCTCATTCCTGGAAGTGTTCAAGGCCAGGATAAACGGGGCTTGAGAAACCTGATCTTATGAAAGGTGTCCCTGCCTGTGGCAGGGGGACTGGAACCACCTGACCTTTAAGGTCTCTTCCAACTCAAACCATTCTATGACTGAGCAGTTGAAAAATTTTAAGGAACTGAGAAATTAAGTCTACATAAAATCCATGGTTACAGAACCTACAAAGTTAAACAGAACCCCTTAGTGAGAAAGAACAGTTTACAATAATTTTTTTAGTTCCTTTGGGTGAGGTACAAGTTGTTTTCTGAGTACATACTATGGGTCAAGCATTTTACTTTTTAACTGTATGACCATGGCCAGTATTTCTACCTGCTTTCAAAGCCCATCTCCTCTCTTCCATTATTAAGAGGAAATTAAAGGAAATGATGACTTGTAAGAAGTACGGGCAACAACAAACAATTTCCTACTGCATTTTGAGCACATATTACTTTTTACCACCTACAGTGTTAAGGATCTCAAAACGCCGTTTCAGAAGAAAAAAATAAAGCAGCCATCCATGCCTCCTCCTCCATCTCTGTTTCCTACTATTTGGTGTATAGTGATGGACCCAAATTGGGATAAAACTGTAATGACAGCTATAAATATTTATTTGATCTGCATTTGCTAGACACTGGTTCCACTGAATTGTTAAAATTATCAGTAGTGGATTTAACAAAATAATACTGTACTCAAGTTGGCCAGGCATTTAAAATTCATCACTGTCTCTTACCTTCTCTTATGGCTGTCTTCTGAGCACAGAGCTTGGCATATCAGACCAATTAGGCAGAACCAAAGTGCTGCTAGTGCAATTATCCTCCAGTCGCTGACGGATTTAATGAGGGGTATGCAGCCCATTGACCAATCAAAACACAGCCACCAGGGACACAACAGCAACCATGCATTCAGTGAATAGTAGTAATTATAGTTTATAGCCTGTCAGTCAAAGAGAAAACAAACATTTATTTGATAGTAAACTTGGGGGGGGTGAAGAAGGGGGCAACTTTAGTCCATCTCTCTTCCCTCACTCCCCTTGTAACACAATAAAGAGGCCATGAATACTGTTAGACTACAACTATTTACATATCCATTACAATTACAGCTGTGAAGTTAATTTTTAATTTTCTTTTAAACATAGCTAGGTGGCTCTCTAGTTCAGAGCAGGGAAATGCAATTCTGTGCTATCCAACCAATATTCATACATAAAAAGAACAATCTCGTACAACAGGAGAAAACATCAAAAGACATCATCCACTGTCATTATCTTTGATTCTCCATCTCCAGAAAGATCCTTAATGCCACCAGATCTGTATAGATAAGACATGCTCCATATACACCAGACTAGAACTTTGTGCTATTTTCTTTAGTTGTGAAAGATGAAAAGTCAAGCACAGTGTGTGGAAAAGGGATGAAAATCAGCAAAAGCTAATTTCTTGCATGCATGGGAAAAATATGGAGTAAATGGAAAAGTATTGCAATGTGCATGCTAAATTGAATGCAAAGAATATACACGGTATACTATTAAAAAAAATTGCAGAGAATCATCACAGCAGCACAAGCGAAGGTGACTTATCACACATATCTTGAAATGTAAAAACTGCCCACTTTATTGTTTCTTAGAAGCACAGAAAACTTAATTTTATCACAAAAGACAAAGGTTCTGAGCTGGCCAGAAAAAAGCAACTTTGTAACTTACTCTTACAAACAGACTGTCAGCGAATGAAGCTGGGTTGTCTACTTCAGTGAAAGCTGGGGGCCCTGTGCCCATAATCCTCCAGCGGATATAAAGTATTCCAGCCCCTCCACACATCAACAGGGCTATCCTGAAAAGCAGCCCCTTTCTTAACAGCCCAGCATTCTACAGGAAAAAAAGAAAGAAAGAAAAAAACCCACCTCATATAGGAACAGTATTTGTTCTCTTACCCAACACATTTGTATCCTTTTCACCTCTATCTCAGAAAGAAAAAAAAGCTATTCCTGTGTGGTTTTGCTATTAGAGCTGGCATTTTAATGGGAAAGTATTTCTTGCAAATATTTTAATTTCCTTCTCAATCAATAAACAAAACTTGTTACTTCAAGAAGACTCTTCCACAAATCCTCTGTAATTCTACAGCTGATATAGTTTTACATGGCAATTTCTGACAGGGAATTTGAGCAGAATAGAGCCTTTAGTATACAGCATATTAAATTCATTTATCTTTTCTTTCTAAAATGGAGGATGAGTACTTTGGGGACTTTGTTTTTAATAGCTATTTTCAGCTGTCTGCTTGTCATGGAAAAAATTTGTCCACTTAGGTATCTTTAGAGGTAAAATTACAGGTATATACCAAGAAAACTACACAGTTAGGAACTGGGAGGAATTAGAAACTGAATTAAAGTTTTCACTCAAAAACTTGATTAAAAAGCTAATGACAGAGAGGCACCCAAATCACTTCAGGGTAAATGACCCAAGATCAGAAAAAGTATAAAACTGTGTTTGATCTATATTAACTCAGTTGGTTTACATCATGCATTTTATAATATACCCTCCAGGCTGTAAAGAAGGCAAGTCACATAAAACATAAAGAAATGATGGTGTAGACAGTAAATCTGACAGACTTTTATATCTTTTTCTCCAGAACATATAACACTTTTCTCCAAGCACACATAATTTTCATAAAAAAAAAAACACAACCAAACCAAACCCAAACCAAAAAACAAACCAGTGTACACTGTAGAGATTCTTCAAGCTTCACCAGTGGAGACTGGAAACAGAATCATCACTAAGTATAACAATACACCAGTCATAGCTTTAAGATGGCACAATAATTATGATTACCTCTTAGTGGACTATGCTCTTTAGCAAGGACCACCATAGATTTTTAGGATATCAGATATCAGTGCACTGGCTGAAGATACTTATTTTATAAAGGATGGAAAAGTTAAATTAAAAAACAATTTTCAGATTGCTTTTTTAGTATTTGTAATTGACAGAGTAATGATAAAATATTTAGTTGAATATCTAAGGATAAAGCAGTTTGTAATTTTGAGTTTACATAAGCAAGCCTTTGTGCTCAAATGATTGCTTCCAACCTGGACATCTCAGCAACCAAAATTACTACAAGGAGGATTTAGGAATAGTTTTCCTATAGAATAGCTTTTGGAGAAAATTGTACTATGAAAAGAACCCACATATAGTGAATATTTATAACTGCTTTATGACAGATTAACAACAAAATCTCTTAGCCCAGGGCTTCATTTTATTTAACAGTACATGCAGTCTCTTAAAGGCCAGATTTCACAATTGCCACAAAATCTCTCAGTAGGCAGAATGTAAAAGTGGAAGAAGTGTTATTGTCTCCTCTCTGATTCAGAGCTAACTGAAATCTGGCATGAAACTGAAACCTGTCTCAATCAAGAAGAAAAAAAAATGTTCTTACTTGAAGAGTTTTTAGAATCTGCCTTTCAACAAAGCAAAACAATCTTAGATATACTTCCTTGAAAAGAGCAGAACAGATTTTTGCAGGTAACAGGAGCTAAAATTAATTACTTCTACCAAAAGAATAAGAGGGAAAAGGCACATCTGATGTTTTCTTCACTGAAACAGAACCATTTAAAAGTTTTTCTATAATACAGAAGCACCACACTCTGAGCTCTTCATGCTTAAAGAGTGACTCTCCAAAAAGGTTTGCCTCTGACATTTCCTAGAATCATAGAATGGCTTGGGCTGGAAGGGATTCCATGGATATCTTTTGCTAGATCAGTTTGCTCAAAGCCCTGTCAAGTCTGGCCCAGAACACTTCCAGGGATGGGGTTCCACAGCTTCTCTGGGTAACCTGTTCCAGTGCCTCACCAGCCTCATTGTAAAGAATTTATTACTGGTCAAACACTGGAACAGGCTTCCTAGAGAGGTGGTCTCCTGGAGCCTTCTCTTCTCCATTCCAGAAGGCCACTGGATTAGTCAGGCACAATCTGCACATGGTGAAGCTGGGTTGGCTGTCTCAAGCCACCTCCCTGTCATTCATATGTTTTGACATAACTTCCAGGAGGATCTATTGCATGCTCTTACCAGGCACTGGTGTGAGGCTGACTGGCCACTTATTCCTGAGGTTCTACTTATTACCTTTTGTTTCCAGCACTTAATTCTGAACCAGCTCTGCTGTAGATCCCTACAATTCTAGATGCTTCCCATGTCATATTCTAGTTGACATTAGTCTCCTTATACAGCAAACCTCCCCAGCATTCCCATTTGCTGCCTGAAACACTCCTGTAGTCCTCACTTAGCCCTTCTTGGTCAAAACTATTATTTCATTTCTAGAGAACCTACTTCCCCTGATTTCCCCTGCAGCTCATTTCACTCCTCACAAAGGAATTTAAAAGCCCCACAGGACTTGTGCCACTCAGAAACATTAGTGAGACTCCTCTGCAGTGAAGCTGCTAACTGCAGCAAAGTACAAGGAATATTCTTTTGCCTTGTTGAATGTTGGATGAGAATCTTAGCTGTAGTAGGCTGTAGGTCTACTTGGCTGTTATCCATCATTGATCTGAGGCCGATTGTTTCTGTTGCTTGCTTGCCAGTGCCAATACTAGGTGCCAGACTCCACTTGAGACAATACCAGATAAATGACATCAATGAAAGTCAGAAAAATCAATCCCTAGCAACTATCAGTGCTTACCTAACTTCCTTTAAACTACAAAGCTACTAGGACCCCTTAACATAATATGTTTTTAATGTACTTGTCTAACTCTGTCATTGAGAATCTGAATGAATCTCTCCCTCTCTTTATTCTGACCAAACCATTCTGAGTTCCATTTCAGGTGTATAATTACTGATCCTGGAGAACTTGTTGCATCAAGCAGTCAACGGTTCTATTTAACATTTTTAACATATTGTTGAGAAAATTGTGGAAGGAGTTTTACTATTCAAAGCAATTCTAACAATACCCCATTACTACTCATGTTGCTGCAAAGATGCCTTACTAGGCTGACTAACAAGACCTTTTTTGGTTGGTTGGTTGGTTTGGGTTTGTTTTTTCCCAATTCTCAACAACAACAAAACTGCCAGAAGCTGAATCTTTGTCTTTTAGGACATAACTGTCTGAATGGCCAGAATGAACAAAATCTGTAAGAATGAACAAAACATCCAAGGACTCACCTCCAATGACTTGTCCTTATACAGCAACTTTCGAATGAGCTCCAAAAGATTTATCTTGTTAATCACCAGTGCATCAAACACTGCATTCAAACCCTAAAGAGCCAGGAGAAAAATAACAGCAAAAGATGAAGCAGCTAACCACAAATATTTTCTTTTAAATACATCCTGAATTGACTTACTGTACATCTTAATTCTGATTCCAAACAATTAGAGAGATACATTGGTAGCAATGATGGCAGAACTGTAAATGCAGCTCAGATTAGCAGAATAACATTTTACTGCAATGAGAATTCTCCTGCTACATGGAATAACCCTTCAGGGAATATTATGCACCAGCAAGCTAGATAACATATGCATGGTCACAACAGAATTCTGCTCTCCATCTTCTTCCCCAAGTGTTCTGCAGTGTAAATGCTGCAGTCAAAAGGTAAGGCTTCTATCAGTAAGGTGGAGTTTCTTTAAGCCTTCTACTTATTTTTTGTTGTATGGTATCTTTGGACTTCCAGGTTTCAGAAATACTGTTTTTAAAGGGTATAGGCAAAGGCTGAGAAAGATTTAACAGAGATATCAAGCTTGCTTTTCTTGCAACTACAGTAATAAGCACAGTGCAAGTTGCTGGGGAAAAAAAAAGAAAAAAAGAGTTGCATATGACATCAGCCACTACACATAAAACTAGAACATATTCGATGTTTTGCAGGGCTACACTTGCATATAACTACCTCCAAGCAAGAAAACAATATGTATAAATGTGTCCAGTGGTAATTCTACTGAGGTTACTGGCAAAATCAAAAATTTCTGCTTCAAAAGTTTCAGCTTATCACCATGGTAATTCTTGAGTATTTATCCTATATTCTAATAATTTCAGAAATTAAGTCACTGTTCTAAAGACTAAATAGAAAAAAACACCCCAGTAGAACTAGTTCCAGCTGAAGCAAAGGGCTGGTACACTGGGAGGCCACAAACCCCTCACTAACAGTCAGAGGGAAGGGACAGAAGATAGGTTAGAGTGTGGCTTGGTTCCATGTAGAAAGGCCACTTGGCAATTAAAAGGCTTTTGGCTCACTCAGATGGAAATAGGAAGGCAAGAATTTATTGAAAATCACATTCAGCCTCCAAGTAATCTTTTTAATGGGTGATTTAGCCCTTTATCCCTCTGACCTGTGCCCCTTAGCACAACAATAAATATAATCATCCTAGCAGTGCAACAGCAAACAAATAAAATCCCAAATCCAATAATAGTTCTGCATCTGATAGCTCAAATAGTTACTTCATACTGCTAGAATAAATTACACATTTTAAGACAATCCCTTATGCTTTCCTTACAGATACCTTTGAAAAACACATCACAACATTTACAAACATCATCAAAAAAAATGTCCCAAATCAAGAAGTTTTCTGTAATTTCTTTTCCCTTTTCTTCTAGCAAGGACAAGAGGGTCATTGCTGCAAAGAATTTTCTGCTTCTGTTGCTTATCTATGTCAGTTAAAGCTATAAACTGGATTTATTAATAAAGACATATGGCTATATAAAAGGTAAAAATCACAGATAGAGCATTTCAGGTGGCCAGTTTGGTCACCTAAACCAGCATTGTCTTCACTGAAGTTATAAAAAGCCAGACCACAATAAACATGAACAATAACTACATCTGTTTCCACAGACAGATCATTAAATAAGGGACAAAAGGAAGAGATGCAGTACTAGAAGTGCTAATTAGGCCATAATATAATTATAATTAGGGCCATAAACAATGGCCCTAATTGTAATTACACTGTTCACAAAAGCAAGGGAATGGAGCTTTTAAAAATGCTCTCCTCCAGTTATCTCTTTGTTCATGAGCCTTCTCTTCACAAGAAGTTTGTAGTCCTGCTATGTCAAGAATTTAATTCAAAACCAAGGGCAACAAAAGTGGAACTAATGTTGTAAAATCTTTAAGCTTGCAAAAATATATGCAACCTGGTTACAAAAGTTAAAGTGAAAGACTCTAACAGATTGGCAAAGATACAGTTAAGACGGATCTATGAGAATACTGCTTTTGGTCAACATTAATTAGTTTTCTGAACAGAATATAAAGGTGTGCATGTCATTAGTTGTGGAGAAGATTAATTTCTGTAGACTTTGCAGCTATACTTGACAGATGTTGAGGTGAAAATCCAGTTAATAAGAGAATTCTTACCAGTATTGTAATTCCTTGTTCTTTGCACAGCATGGCTATTGCCCCTAGGACAACACTCACCAGCACCCAGAATACAGAAAATGTATGTCCTTCCTTATCTGTTAAAATAAAGAGTGCCATAGCTTTAGGCATTTTATACATTTAAAGGTAAATTAAAATAAGAATTTAAAAAATAAACAGCATTTAGTATTGCAGTCTTTTCTACCAGTTAAGATCTGGACACGCAGACTTAAAAAGCATAGGGCACCTCCTGCAATATGCTGGCATTTGTCCCTTTATTGCAGTCATTTTCTGTTCTTGGAGACATTAGAAATGTTCCTATTTGCTTGATGTTTTAGCCAGATTAATTAGAATGGCAGAAGCTCCACATAATTTTCACAATTTGTCATCTGCAAAGGTTAATTCCCAATATTTAGAGATATTTATCATCCTTAGCTAGAGCTCTGTCATTACTGGCCACTGTCCTCCTACCATAGGAAGCTACCACAAGAACAAGAAATTCTTTATAATAGTTCCTCATGAAGTGTCACACACACAAACTGTTTTAACTGCAGTCTAGTCTACAAAGGTACAATGAGCTGCTTCTCCAGACCTGCTGCATTTAGCAAGTGCCTCATGTCATTTTATTATCACTGCAATAGAATGCCAGTGAGCTCAGAAATGTCAGCAGCTGAGCAGAAGCAGTTAGTCCTTGCACTCAGGAAGCAGTTTTACAGCAGGGTGAGGAACTCTGGGGTTAAGAGATCAAGAACCACTACAGCTTCTACTCAAAGGAAAACTCTTTAAAGACTGTACCATGTAGCTGATTTTGGGTACTACAAGCAGGCATATCTGAGATGAATATAACAATCAACCCTACTCCAGCCAAGGTGCTATCACACACAGAATACACAGGTACTTCACATAAAAAACATATCTGTCACAACCTCTACTCCATAGGTGCAAGCAGCAGAGGAAAGCACTCTCCTCATTCAGAGGCAGTTTCTTGATTCAAGTAACAGAGGCTCTACAGGCATCACAAGAATCAATCTTTGACTTGGCATGTACAAAAACAAAGCTGAACTCTGCATTCATTGACTGAATCCCTTTCTTACTTTCCTTGACCTCTAGAGCAGTTCTTCTCTACTGCTAATGCAGGTTTGACCCTCAGTGCTTAAAGAGAACTGCAGTAATGGTCTGTGGAAAGGGTAAATGGCAAGATTAAGATATTTCACCAGAAACAGAAACCTACACCTCAGCTAGTACACTAGGCTTCCTTTATAACTGTCCATGAGAAGAGGACACCTTTAGGGATTAAGTTACCTAATTAAATGCAGCTGAACCCCCTTCAGAGCTGTAACTCTGCACCGATGATACAGGGAAACCAGTAAACCTCAACCTCAAATGTTGCTGGGGTCAGATACAAATCATAACCATAAGCGTGAAAAGGATCTGCTGACATTGGCCTCCTCTTTCATTTTGAACCAGGCTACTTCTTTTGTAACAGAGAGCTCCAAACTTTTAATACAAATATGTCAAAGAACAGGTTTTGAGGTTACTTCTAACCTAAAAAACCCCTTTCTTACCTAAGACTTGTAAAGCTTCAACAGAGTGAATACTAAGATGTTTGAGATTCATCGTTGCAATACATAGAGGGAATTTGATCCTTCTCCCTCCAATCCAAATTATGTCTCCAGAGGTGAGGTAAAACTTAACATTAGAGGTGCAAATGTTATAAAGATAAAAAAAAAGTCTTCTTTTAGGAAAGAAGTCATACACATCTGAATAATGCAAAAAAAAAAAAAGAGCCAAGACAATACAAAATACAAAATGAATAAAGAGACATTGGAAGTAGAAAAATTAAAATGCAATGGGAAACTCCAGCCCACATCAATTAAACAGAAGAACAGCTGAAGGTTGTAACTCATGGAGGAAAGAGCTTCAACATTCCTTCTATGAGTACTGCTAAGACAGAAAGAATTCTGACTAAATACATCCCTTCAAGGAGCTTTTCAGACTTTGCAGTACAAGACTGTTCAGCCAGCTCTTGAAAACCACTTTTGGTGGGTTTTTGTTCATTTGTTTGTTTTGGCATTCTTGTTGTTGTTTTTGGGGGTTTTTTTAATGTAGAAATCAACTAGCACAGAGAATGCAAGGATAGAAGGCAAAGTAATTGACTGTGTTCACAAAATGACTGTCAATCATCCTTAGTAAGTCTAAAAAGGAAAATAGTGAAGACAGCCAATGGACATTGACTGTGTTTATGGAAGTAGACTTTCTTCCATTGAGAGGTTTCTTCCTCTCAGAATCAAATTCTAGTGGGAAGGAGTCGGGACAACTAAGCACTTCTCACAGAAGCAGTATTCAGTACACAAATACAAATTATTTTAACACAAAAGATAGTAGGAAATATATACAGTAAGAGACCAGCTGGCTATTCAGAAATGCTTTGATGATTCAAAATATAAGAGTAATAGTAAAAAGGGAACTAGGTCGAATCATCAAGGACAAATGTAAAAGCAGCACATTCATACAGAAAATCTAACACAGAAAGGTCACATTACAAAATGAAAAAAGGTAATGTATGTAAAGAACAAATCCCCACAATTCCACAGTTATATTAGTAAGAAGAGTAGTGAGGAGGGAGTTATTCCAATATTCATTGAGAAATAAAGTGGACAATGCCAAGAAAACGGAAGTGTTCTGTGCCTTTTTCCTTCATTTTTTTCCAAAAAGGTCAGTTGCAATCAGATGGCAAGTACAGCATTATCAGAAAGGGAGGAAGAACAAAAGCAAAAGTAGTGAACTACAGGACAGAATTCATAGAGAAGTTAATCTGTTTTAAATTACGATTGGTTACAGTCACTCCACAGGTCCCATACAGCCCAGAGTAATCTCAACCGTTACCTCAGAAATCATGAAAAATACATGAGAATCAAGGAATCTCAAATAAAATAAAACAATGCCTACATATCTACTTTTGACAAGGGACAAAAATACAAAAGGATAGACTACAGATACAAAGCTAAGCTGACTGGTCAAAATTACAAAAAAATCACTACACCTAGACAAAATATTTTCTAGGTGGCACTCTAAAACATAAAAGAATATGATTAATTGCTTGCCAAATACTTTAGTCATTTATATAGAACTAAGTATAACTTTTGACTTGGACAGAAAAAAAAATTTTCCTGATAAAAGGAAATCTGTAAACATCCTATGCCTTGACTGTCCAAAGGCTTGAGAATAACACTGGAAGCAGTGTGAAATGTGCCACAAAAAATAAGGGCTGCATGAAATTGTTATAGACAGGGTATAAATTTCAGCTGGAAAACTACAGTAAGATACCAGCTTGCTGTGAAAAAAAGAAAAGATAACATTCTGTACTGGATTCTTCCTTTGTCCTTCCTCCATTTGGATGTTGGAATAAAAAATATGCTTATTAAGACCAGAAGTGCTGCCAGGCTGCAATGGCCAGGAATCATACAAAGGAGAAGTCATAATTCTATTGACAAACTGGAAAAAACACAGAATCATATAATAGCTTGGTTTCAAAGGGACCTTATGGGCCATCTGATTCCAAACCCCTGCCATGGGCAGGGACACCTTCCACTAGACCAGGTTGCTCAGAGTGCCATCCAATCTGGCCTGGAGAAATAGTCTAGCCAAATAAAAGAAAACTGGAGTCATTCAATAGGCACACGCTCAAAGTTGTGCATAAACAAGTTTGTCTTTGTGTGAACATCCCAAGTCTCAGATGCAAGAAATATCTCAGCTTGCCAAGCAAAGTCAAGCTAAGCATGGACTTGCAAAGATGATAAAAACACACAGCGAAAGAGAAATAAAGTCCTAAATATTGAGCATCAAAGACCTGGACTTCAATAAGGCCTTTGACACAGCCTCCCATAAGATTCTCACAGAGAAGCTGCTGCTGAACAGGCTGGATGTGCAGACAGTGAAGTGGACTGAAAGCTTTCAGAATGGCTTGTCCAGAGGGTGGTGGTCAGTGGCACAAAGTCTAATCGAAGGCCAGTGTACTCAGGGGTCAATACTGCGTCCAGTCCTATTCAACATCTTCATTAATGACTCGGATGATGGGGCAGAGGGCACCCTCAGCACATTTGCTGAGGACACCAAGCTGGGGGGAGTGGCTGATACACCAGAGGGTTGTGTTGCCATACAGAAAGACCTTTCCAGGCTGGAGAAATGGTCTGGCAGGAACCTCATATGGTTTAATGAGGGGAACTGCAAAATCCTGCAGTAAAGCCTCCTGGACAATTTGGCTCTAGGTGACCCTGTGTGGGCAGGTCAGGTGACCTCAAGACTACTCCAACTTCAAACACTCTGTGATTCTGTAAACAAGATCTCCTGAAAAGCACAATTTCTGTTCCTTTGTTTTCTTTTGCCGGCTCAAAAAAATCAACAGTTATTCACAGAATTGTAATATTATCAAAATTCATCAGTGATTAAACTTCAAAGAGAAAGAATTTTAATTAATAAACATTTTATTTCATGCTTGTTCCTGGGTCAATATGCACAACACCCCTTCATCCCCACCACCCCCTCTCTCAACTGCAAAAATCTCAGTAAACTCGGCTGCAAAATAGATAGGAAAGACCACCATTCAGCAATGCCTTCAATTTTATCTTTTTATTTTTTTTAACAGTGAGTTAAAATGTAAAGCACTGCATAAGTGCTTATTATGAGATATATACATGCCAACAGAAGAAATCAGTCTAACAAAGCATATTCCCCTAATATGGCGCTGCTTCCCACCAGAAAATTCTTGTGTCAGAAAACGAAACTGATCTCTCATTGGCACCTGTGCCTGGTTGAAACTGGTACACCATATTGTGAGTGGGCATTTTGCCACTCTAACAGATGGACAAAATTGTAAGCATGCCAAAGAAATGGAGTACTTGCTTATTTTTCTTTTAAGCTGGAAAAAATATAGTGTTTCTACACAAACCCAAAAAGCGTTGCTCAGATGGTCCCTCTTTAGGAGTACATGAAGTCTGGAAGTTGAGAGGATTCAATAAAATACCTATGTAAACCATAAACAAGCCATGAGAGCTCCTCCATTTAGACTGCTAGACTTGAGTATAAGCATTTCTAGAGC